TTAAATTTTTTTGGCGGACCCCCCCCCCCCCCCCTTTTTTTACGCAATTTCTCACTCACAAATTCCCAATTACTTTCTATGGAATTGTTTCATGTCAATGAGAAGATCACCAGCGACAATCACTCTTCATCCACCTCTACGGCCAGAGAACTATTTGTAGCAAAGCTCCCCAACCCAATGCTGTCGGATTAGTTTAGATTGTGGCAACAAATCAATTCTTAGCAACAAATCACCATCGACGCTAGCAATGAAATCGTTCGATACCAATCACTGTTCATCAATGGCATTGGAGATTTGTCGCAGCAATTAATCTTTGCTACAATATTGACATCATCCTGAAGATTCCGGAATCTCTAAAATATAGAAAGAATCCGGGACTAATTCAATCTCTGGGTTTCTTCTCAAAAACAGCCAATGGGACTCCTCAGCCATCATTGACACCTAAAATCATTGAACTCACCCCTCCAACTTAGAACAAATCTTTAAAGTAAACCGAACAGCTCCACTTTAATCCGGCCACTCAACACAACAAAGCCAAAGTTCGGCAACAAACCAGCCATCGTCTTTCCAACCGGCTGTAGCCCACCAAATGCCTCCCTGATGGCCGGAAAGAGATCTGCTCCTCTTCCATAACTACGCGTCCTGTCGTCGCTTCTCCTGCCCTTTGGACACGCACCTAACACCCCAGAAGACGGAAGGATCGGCGAGGTTGTACCCGAGATTTGTTTTTTTTTTAAGTTGCACGATCTCTGTGAGCAAAAGGATCACCCAACCCTTCCCCCGTGCTTCGGATCGGCACCGAGTTTGTCCCATGTGCGGTCGCCCTTTCCGACCGCTCTGTCCCAATCAATGATAAGATCTGATTGGCTGCAAGGGTCACTGCCCCAAAGTCACAAACCTTTTTTCTTTTTTTTTTTTCCCTTCGCCCCCTTTCACCTGAAGCGAAGAAATAAAAACAGCGAAGATATTCCAGCTCAGTGGAAAATTCTACAGAGCCTTGGTTACGGACGACCCTGGCTTACGAAAGAGTCTGTAGGGAGTTCAGGATACGTTTGAAGCTGAAACCCACGCCGCAGTTAAAATATACATAGGCACACTATAGAGCCTTGTGCCTTATGAGCTGCTCTATGTGCAGAATAACCCTCTGGGAGCGAACCCGGGTTAACTCCTTCACAGAGGGATACAATGTATATCTGTAGAGGGGAACATACACTGAAGAGTGTCTACATTGTACTGCATGGCCAAGCTGCAATGGTTCTTACCTTGTCCTGCAGTTGCCTTCCAGCGGAAAGAGATCCAAGTGTGAAGCCGAGAAGGAGTTTTATTCCCGAGTCAGCCCAGTGTTGGCTCTGCAGCTCTGCAGCCACTTCTGTTTAATCTGAGCTGTAGGCAGCCAGTCTTCCCTCTCTGACTCCTCCACTCCTCCTCCTCCTCCTGAGGTTGCACAAGCTTTAGCTTGTTGACATCACAGTGACATCATTATAACACCCCACAGGACCTGCAGGTAGACAAGGCCACTCCTTTTACCCCGGCTTGGCTCATCTCCGCAGCAGCAAAGACACACCTTGTAAAACTTCCGAGCGCTTTTCCTTTTTATAGTCGTAGCTGAAATCGCCTCTCGGTTATAAAATTGTCATGAACTCAAGGCGCCGTTCACACCGAGGCGTTGCGTCGCTCAAGACAAGGAATCCCATTCTTTTCTATGGCCCCTGTTCACACCGAGGTGTTGTATCGCTCATAACTAAGCGCAACACAGCGCCCAAGACAAGGAATCCCATTCATTTCTATGGCCCCTGTTCATGCCGAGGCGCTGAGTCGCTCACAGCTAAGCGCAACACAGCGCCCAAGACAAGGAATCCCATTCAGTTCTATGGCCCCTGTTCACGCTGAGGCGCTGAGTCGCTCACAGCTAAGCGCAACACAGCGCCCAAGGCAAGGAATCCCATTCATTCCTATGGCCCCTGTTCACACCGAGGAGTTGTGTCTCTCAAAGCTAAGCGCAACACAGCGCCCAAGGCAAGGAATCCCATTCATTTCTATGGCCCCTGTTCACACCGAAGCGCTGAGTCGCTCACAGCTAAGCGCAACACAGCGCCCAAGGCAAGGAATCCCATTCATTCCTATGGCCCCTGTTCACACCGAGGAGTTGTGTCTCTCAAAGCTAAGTGCAACACAGCGCCCAAGACAAGGAATCCCATTCATTTCTATGGCCCCTGTTCACACCGAAGCGCTGAGTCGCTCACAGCTAAGCGCAACACAGCGCCCAAGGCAAGGAATCCCATTCATTCCTATGGCCCCTGTTCACACCGAGGAGTTGTGTCTCTCAAAGCTAAGCGCAACACAGCGCCCAAGGCAAGGAATCCCATTCATTTCTATGGCCCCTGTTCACACCAAAGAATTGTGTCGCTCAAAGCTAAGCGCAACGAAACGCTCAAGACAAGGAATCCCATTCTATTTTATGGCCCCTGTTCACACCAAAGAATTGTGTCACTCATAGCTAAGCGCAACACAGCGCTCAAGACAAGGAATCCCATTCATTTCTATGCTCTTGGAAAGATATACACTGGGGATCGCTTTTTAGAGAGGCATTGGGGCCTGACGCCTGTATGAACTTAGCCTAACTGCATTGTGTTAAGTTTGCTAAAGTTTGCATTGTGTCTCATCAAAATTCGAGTTTTTCTTTAATCTAAAAATATATCATTCTGTATAGCTACCCAATTTATGGGACTAAGACTGTGCCCTTCCCTACTGGACCCCGCCCCTCATAGATGCCAGGCTATGGGACTAAGACTGTGCCCTTCCCTACTGGACCCCGTCCCTCATAGATGCCAGGCTTTCCAGCTCCTCCAGGGAGCCCGGCGGAGTTGGACTACAACAACCAGCGTTAGAATGGTGAGTATACTGTAGATATATAGTGTCCTCTGTACAGGGAGATCCCGTAAGAGCTTCAGCTTTGAGCACTTCAGGGTTCAGAACTTTCAAAATCCCAGCTGAAATGTTTACCAGCAGGGTTGCCAGCAGATTGAGCACAATCAATGCTTAATGGGCTGTAGCCGAGGGCAGGGGACACATCCGTGGTTTAATAGAACCCTGATGTCTCAAGAAAGAGAACCTAGAAAGTGTGGATGTCTTGTTGCACTCTTTACTGGACGTCCCAATAGCAGGGAAGGGCGCTCGTAGTGACTGCAGAAGGCGCCGCCTTTGACATTCTTCCAAACGATTCAGAAAGAGTACCTGTCACCTGCCCAATGCTGGCTAGCCCCCATGCAATAGCAGTAAATTTAAGTAAAATAAAATAAAAAGAACAAAATGAATATAAAAGCATCCCCATCATGCACACACACACAAACACCAACGTGCACGTAGGACGGATATGCGTATGTAAACAAAGATCACAAAACACGCATTGGGTATCACCGCTGGAGTGAGAGAAATAATGTATTTCTAGGCCCCTCATTTACAATTGATGAGCAAAATAACTATATTACAAAGGGGGACTATGAGAAACAGAGACTACTGAAGGGAATTCATCAAAACTGGAGCAGCTGTGCATGGCAACCAATCAGCTTCTCTCTTTCATTTTCAAATCTAAACTGAACAAACTGAAGAGAGAAGCTGATTGGTTGCCTTGCACTGCTGCTCCAGTTTAATCAATTCCACCCACTGTGTGTCAGCTAGTGACAGACTGCATCATATACGTACAATGCAGGATAGAGCTCTCCAATCAGAAGGGACCATGAACTTTGCTGCTTGCAGAGCTATAGGTCTGACTTCATAGGGGGGCGTGTCGGATCTATGCAGAGAGACCGCTGCTTCCAAGCAGAAAGCAAAGGTCCTTCTCTGCAGCATGCTGGCAGGGGACAGGTTTTTCTACTCAAGATGTAGCTGCTTTATAAAGAAAACCACATGTAAAACAAACGGCCTATGTTTAAATCCTCCTGGAATGTGTTTAGCTAATTTAACGCGAAGGCTCAATTTGGCTTTAAGGTAAATAAAATTTTACATGAAGCTTAAATTATCATGAGAGTGAATTTAAGGTTACTTCTCAAAATGTGGTCAGCTGAAGATGTTGCCATCTCCATCTGCGAACGATAAGCATGCACCCTTTGCACCCGGAGGAGAAGAGCTTAAGCTTGACAGGATGCATCCTCTCTGCGTCCGAGCGAGGAAACACGCACCCCTACAGACCTGCACTTGGGGTGAGCGTAGGGGGGCGTACGGCCGCGTAGTCCCATAGAGAAGGACGGGGGGTGCATACTAATCACATGCAGCACCTGTCCTTCTTGGGAGCTGCTCGATACGGCCGTAAATGGAGCACGGAGCAGTACGTGCCGGCCGATTCCAGTGTGAATGAGGGCTTAAAGGAGAACTATGGGGTCAGTGTTTTTCCCCATAGTTCTCCTTAGGGTAACGGGAGGACACAAACTAACGTCCTCCCGTCACCCTAAGCTCAGTATACCGCGAGCTACAGCTCCCTATATACTGAGACGCCTCAGCCGGAGCGGATCCCGACTTAGATGACGGGATCCGCCCAGCTGCGTGAGTGACAGCTGGCTCTGCCTATCTAGAGGCAGAGCCAGCTGTACCCGCCCCCTCCCCCGTCCGTTCCGCCAGTCAGCGCTGGCAGATCGGAGCGGGGAGAGGGGAATCCAGCCCGTCCCATGTCATGGCAGAGAGCCGTGACAGGATCGAGAGGTGAGCGAACCCGGTATGTGTTCCCTCACCTCCCGATCTACTGAGCCGACCTGTGACAGTCTCATTGTCACACAGGTCGCCTAGAACTATGAGGTGAGTGAAAAGCACCCCCCTCAGAGTTCTCCTTTAACCTCCACGCATGGAAAAACTTCTTCATAGTAAAAGCTGAATATGTGTCCGGAGGAACTTGATGCAGCAAATTCGGCAGATTACCTCAGAGCAGGGCTGGGTGTGGATGAAGAAAATATAAAAGAATATTCATATTTATTAATGAGACGATCCCTGTTGGAGGCTTCTGCGGATACAAAGTGTTTTTATTGTATTGTTTGCCTTTTGGTTGTTACTATGTATCTCTGGGACGATGATGATTCTGATGTTCATGGGGTTGGAGATTTGTTTGCACCGGTGCAGTTTTACAATGTTTATAGTATCGGTACTTTATCTTAAACTACCAAGATATGACGTTCAGCTAACCAGAAAGCTGCCACAACCGGTCTGATGGAAGGTTCAGCACGTATTGTTCCTTCCTATTAATGTCTTAGGAAAGAAATGTATGAAATGTGCCGCTAGGGGACTGTTTACGAAAAGGAAGTGCCGGGGGGATAGTTCAAACAAGTTATAGTTCAATTTGCTTATTTGCTTATATTTTGCCTTCTCTGGTTCCTCCTCCCCCCCCCTCCCTCAGCATGATAATTACATTATTAAATAAAATATTTCTCTTTTTATTGCATGCCTTATTTTAGTCCCCTGATTCCTCTATATAGATCTTTATTATCACTAGAGGGGTCCCCAGCAGGAGGAAGGAGGTCCTGATTCCTCTATATAGATCTTTATTATCACTAGAGGGATCTCCAGCAGGAGGAAGGAGGTCCTGATCCCTCTATATAGATCTTTATTATCACTAGAGGGGTCCCCAGCAGGAGGAAGGAGGTCCTGATTCCTCTATATAGATCTTTATTATCACTAGAGGGATCCCCAGCAGGAGGAAAGAGGTCCTGATTCCTCTATGTAGATCTTTATTATTACTAGAGTTCTAGATTTATATTTCTGTGAATAATTCTGGGAATTCCTCTTCCTTCAGCTTCTTCCTATTTCGTCCCCTTGCTGCATTTTTGTTCTTGTACATGATTTCTGACACCAGACTTATAGCATGTGCTGTCATGGAAACTATTATTTTATCACTTCCGCCGCTGGATAATTCTGCGTCTGTCATGTGTTTGGTTGAATATATAACACTCATATTTTCTATAGCTTTCTATATCCTCCATCCTTGGTTTGCTCAGGGAGTTCTTAGCAAATAGCTGTGAACTCCTCTCTGACGTGTGTATATTTAGGCGTCTAGCTCAGGAGTTCCTCCTGTGAGATGGTGCTTAACGGCAGATTCTGTTTTTCTGGGTAAAAATGGCCATCATGGAAGAGGAATGTATTCTTCATGGCACCCCGGGGTCTTGGATTCTAGGGCCTGTTCACACGACGTCCGTTTTCTGTGCTGACCTGATCCGTACGCTCCCGCACTTAAAATGCATCCCTATGTATCCCTATGTGTTTTATGGGCTACAGTTCTCACGTGCGCAGTCCGTTCAGGTTACGACAGAAAAAATACTGCATGTCACATTTTTTCCGGTCAGGAAATGGACCGGAAACGCAAAACGCATCAAAAACGTACGGCACTGCAGCTGACATACTGACAGCCCCACTCCAGCTCCACTCCCCACT